AATATGATTCTCATCCATCACATCAAGCCATCATATTTGAAAATCTATTTCTTGTGTGGGGCCCAAAATGGCTATATTTTTCATTTTCATTATTATATTAATGTGGTTCAAACGGGGCAATAATATATATTAGATGTTTGCTTTGGTCTTTATAACAATAAACATATAGATAAACACGTAATAATCTATTGTTACATGACATGTGATAAAAATATTATGCGTAACGCAAACAAAATGGATAATGTAATCTATCACCACTTTCACGTGTCTATTTTGGGTAAGAATGGTTCTCTAAATTTTATTGCAATCATTGACAGTCAACTGTCAACTATCCCTCGTCAATGATCGTTCTAACTCATAATCTGGGATTTGTCACTCACGTAACCTCTGTTGAGAATCTACTTATACATGCACAGCGGAAAATTAAAATTATTTCGATTCCCATCGAGGATCCCTTTGTGTTTAGATAAAAATCGTGATAAAGATTGTACTTTTGAAGAATTCTGCAAACCTTTTGCTTTTCTTCTCATTCCAACAATCTTGATTCGCCACCACAGCTATCCAATTGTCCAACCTCCAATGGTGATCCACACAGAGAATAAGATTGCAGCTTCTAGGGTTTTCTCTTGTGCCAGCAAGAATAATGAAAAACATATGGACCTCTAACCCTAGCCATGTATTTATATAAACACAAATGGGCTCGACCCGGTCCGGTCCAATATTTAATTAATCCAATTAATTAAACCCGGCCCGTGAATTAATTAATCCAATTAATTAATTCGGGAATATAAATAACAAATCCAATTAATTAATTTATCCAACGATTGTTAAATTAACCAATTGGCAATTTGCAATCTTCTAATTCTCTTTTGTGTACGACCCATTAGGTTCCCGACCATGATGTCTAACGACGTGAAATATTATTTTGATATAATCAAAATTGATAAATTAAAATACCCTTTTAATTTATCGTCAATTCACACTCCCCGTCCCTGATTGACATCTAACAATGTGTCAGGACAATACATGTGACGGGAAATGTCACGTGGTATGACAAAACCAAATTCGTTCGTTTACCATGAAACTATAATCCCCTCGTCAATATGATCCGATCAATTACGATATATGAAATTGTGTCAATCTCGATCATCGATCATATCTTTCACTCCACTATTAAGTCAATATAAGTCGAAAACTCCTTTTCGACTTATGAGTACACTTTGGTCAAGGATTTCATCATCGACTTAATTGAATGAAACGCAGATCATAATCTCCTACTATCTAAGAGTGACGAATCCTTTATTGATCAATCACAACCTTTATATGATTCTTGACGTACCCGAACGATGTCGTAGTAGCGGCCCTTTTCAGAGCAACATCTAACACCGCCAAAGTATGACTGTCCTCATATAAGGTACCATGACGACCTCAAGTCAAAGGACCAATTTCACTACCGAACGTTAGAGATTAGCCACTGACACTCAGATAGTTATCCATGTGGAATCTCTTAGCGGGTCTCCAATGTTTTGTTCTATAACAAAACATCCACGTGTTCATTTAAGTGTCACCATACTTTAACTCGTGAGATCAGTTACTTACTTCACAAGTAAGAAATGTCACACGTGATGGTCTATCCGTAATAACGATATCCGTATCTCGTTATTACTTACGACCACGGATGATTTAATATTCAATCAGATGTAATTTGTATCTCACAATCACAACTCCTTGTGATTAACAAATTACAAATATTTGAATCTACGCAAAGAACCAAAAGGAATAAAAATTGATCTTTAATTCTCATATTATCTTGAGCATAAAGAAACAGAATTTGAATGGTTAATTCAACCATCAAGAAAATCTTTGGAAATAAACTTAAATGACCAAAGAACATTAATCAAAACATTAAAAGAAAGCATTGAAGAAATTAAGATAAATCTTACAAATCTTCAAGAAAATACGAAAAAATCTATGAAAAAACATTCTGCTGTAATTATAGCAGGAGTTAAAAAATGAAAAACCTTTAACAAAGAAAAATCCTAAAATTTCTTTAGGAATTTTTGAAAAAGGGAAAGACATAGATAAAAATAAAATTGAAGGAAATTTTGATATAAAATTTTTAAATTAAAAATGTCAAAATTCAAGAAAAATCTTGAAAACATTTATGAGATTAGCAATAATCTAGGACTTCTAAATATTCTTCTTTCATTTGAAGACACAGAATTACAGTTACTAGCAAGACATAATAAACAATCCAAATTGAAGGAATAAAAATTATTTGCAATTTTGAGAATAATTTTTATAATCTACCAAACATTTCACCAAATTATCAAGGCCAATTATGTAAAACATTGAAGCAAAGCCTTGAAAAATATCACGAATGCCAATACTGCAATAAAATTGTAAAAAATGACAAAGGAACAAACTCAACAAAAGAAGATGAGCCAAGTAGGGTTTCCACCAAAAGCAAAAGCCAAGAGGGCCAATCAGATTAAAAAGATGAAGCATCTGCCTTTTCAAAACAAATGACATCTATCTTTTGAAAAAGAAGCATCTGCTTTTGAAAAACGGGGAAAACATGTAATATGATCCCCCATTTAACTAAATCATGTAATTCGATCCTCCATCTATCTAAAGCATGTGCTTTGGTCCTCCAACTATTTAAATTATATAACATGATCCTCAAACAATCTAACTCCAACTATGTAAATAATATAACATGATCCTCCAACTATTTACATATGTAATTTGATCGTCAGATTATCTAAACCATATAATTTGACTGTCCAACTATTTAAATAATATAATTTAACCTTCAACTATCGAAAACATTTGAATAGTACAGTTCGCTCCTTCAACTATTTACTTTACGCAATTGGGTACTCCAACTATTATAATTATGGAACTTCATCGTCCATCTATCACATTCATGCAATTGGGTGCTCAAACTTTTAGATTATACAAGTCAATCATCTATTAATATAATGCACTTTGATCTTTCAACTTCACGAGTTGTAAAATTAGGTCCTTAATCTATTTGTTTAAATGCAATTGGGTTTTCCAACTATTGTAATCATGGAAGTTCATCCTTTGACTATTAAATTATGCAATTGGGTACTCAATCTATTATAATAATGGAATTCCTTCCTTCATCTACCAGAATCACGCAATTGGTTACAACTTTTTAAATCATGCAATTCGGACCTTCAACAACTAGAATTGTGCAATTGGTTCTCCAACTATTATAGTCATGCAATTCCGTCCTTCGTCTATTCAAATTGTATAATTCAATCCTTCATCTATTTGAGTACTTCATTTCGATCCTTCATCTATTCATTTTCTACAATTGGGTACTCCAACTATGTGAATCAAGCAATTCAGTCCTTCAACAATTAAAATGATGCAACAGCGTACTCCAAGTACTAGAATGTGGTCCTTCATCTATTCATTTTTCCAAATTGGGTACTTCAACTATTAGAATCATGGAATTTTGTCCATCATCTTTACAGTCATGTAATTGAGTCCTATAACTATTCAAATCATGCAATTTGATCCTTCAACTATTAGAATCATACAATACAGTTCAAAACCGGTTTAAAAATCCGGGTTGCCAGCTTGGGTCTATTTTCTCGTTCTAGCGGGTCAGGCCTCAATTAGTTTATTGATTCCCAAGGTAAGTTACCATACCAACCCAAACAAATAAAAATAAACATCTAAACTTGTTAGATATACTGAATATTCAATAAAACCTGAAAAAAAGGCTGTACCTTGATGAAGCCATGTGCGTTTCGCAAACCCGGCTATTCCCATATAATCCCCAACAGAAAACCAGTTGAATTTAGTATATTATGACTTTTTATAAGCAGAAAAATTAAAAAACGACGCATTAGAAGAAATAAAAATTCACCGTGTTCGTGAGCCGGGCCGTAGGGCTTCGGATGATGAAGTGTAAAAAAGGTGTAAATGTTTTCTTTATTTGATTGAAGAAATTTCACCAAATCATATTTCCACCACATAATGTAAATCATTATTTGCATGTAGCAAATCGTTTTAATTTTAGAGGTCATTTTATAATTACACAATTGGCCGACCTGAAAAAACTATCGGGATCATTGATTCAATTGGAGGATCTGGTCCGATTTTGATAGCATACTGATTCGTATGGAATTAGCACGACCCGGTCGAAGCAATTGGATGTCCAACTCGGGCCGATCAATAGAAATACTCCACCCTTGTCATATATTCCATACATCACACCGGGCATCTACCATTATACCCACAATGATTGGCCATACAATTGCTATTCATAATGGTAAGGAACATTTGCCTATTTATATAACAGATCGTATGGTAGGACACAAATTGGGAGAATTTGTAGTATATTTTAATAAAAAGTTGATGAAATGTGTGATTAAAATTATGTGACACATAAAGTATGATTAAAATTAATTGTTAATTTTGATTTGAATTTTAATTAAATTTTTTAATTGAATCAAACATGAGCTAAATTTAAAACCATTTTACTTCAATAAACGTACAAGGCCGTGGCCTGCACGTACAGAATTTTTCTCTAATTAACGATGCAAGAAGTCTAAAGTGATGCAATAGTTAACGTCATTTGAATTCCAGTGAAAACTTAGCAGTAACGCATACAATTTTAAGCTAGCTTTTTCGTTAGATTCACCACAAGTGAAATCATTAGAAACAATAAAAACTACCATAAAAAATTACTTCAATGGCCATTTTGAAACTTTTATAGACTTCAGTGACCGATGCTAAAATTAACCTATTAATACACTATATCGAAGAAAAAAATAATATTTTCTAGCACAGTAATACTAAAGCATTAATCTAAATGACCACACTTGATAAATTCAATTAAATAAATCGTGTAACATTGCATTTAAGTGAATCTATAATTAAACATCATGAAATTAACGGTGTTGAATATCATTAGACTTTTAAGGGATAAACCGAGTAGACAACTCAGCAAAAAATGGTTTAAAGTTTTAACGTGGGATAAATTATAAAACTAGCTTCAAAATAAAGCGAGCCTTTAACAATACATTAAACCTACTTACAAACCAAATTAGCTAACCATTTGCTAAAATGACCAAATTAAACTATTCAAGTCAATAATTAGCCCTACTTACTAACAATCAGCCATTAACATTAAAATGAGAATGAAATTGGAAGTGAAGATGGCGGGTCGGAAAATCACAGAAAACTACTACTAAAAAGCTTAAAAACTTGAAAGAGGTTTTGAGTTCTGAAACTCAAGGATGTAGTAAAGCATATATCCTTTTTCCAATATGGTAATAAGAAAACAAATGGCAAGGGCATCCATACGCACAAGACTATAATCTGGTGCAGGTAATAACCAAGAGGCCCAAAAAGCCAGAGCCACATTCAACATTACTGATATTTTGTTTTCTTCTTGATACCCGTGTGAATTCCTTCCATCGACTGCCTTTTAGAAAGAGTCGATTTCTTTTCCTCTGCATTTCTTTTGTTAATGAACTCTGAGAAAGAAGGAATTGGTGGAAGCTCTGTTTCTTGAGAAAGCAATGGGGCATCAGATCCATTGCTGCCATCGATTTTTTCATCAGCGAGTTGTGTTAATGCTGGTTTTATCTCAGAGGGTGATGGCAAAGTATTTGGTCTCGGACTTTTATCCTCCAATGTAGTACAAGCCCCGGTCCCAAGTCTAGATGTCAAATCATCAGGGCTTGCCGTTGACAACCACCTCACTGTACTTGCCATCTGTGATAGATAAAACCCCTTCCCAGCCTTGCCGTATTTCTTATAGCAGTCGTTTTCAAGTTTAGAAGCAGATGTCACAAAGTCAATCCTGCAAAAGGCCAGCAAATGAATTGGATATACCCTGGTCGATCAAAGTACAGAACTATGGTATATTATAATTTGAACCTTATAGCCCATCAGTAATAAGGGGCGAGATATCATACTTTAAGTTGTTGAAACGATGTTCGTCCTGCTTCAGTGCATTTAATAATCTTTGCTCGCCCGACTCCCGTAATGTTTCAGATATGGCTTTTTTGTCAACCTTATTAACCTATCAACCGGGAAAAAATAAATAAATAAATAAAATAATAATAATAAAAGCAACAAACAACAACAACATTTGTAGCAATGAAAACAATAACTCAATTGACTAAAATTGTGAAAATTGTGTAACAGATGGAAGACGTAAAACCCCTGTATAAATTGACAATATGAACTTACAATTCGGAAAGATAATTGACTTTCTTTCCTTAACACAGGGTAACTAACTACTACAACTAATAGAAGAAGACATTACACAAGATGAAGATCTGTCAATCTTCAATATCACAATATGACGTGGATTTAAATAAAATAAAAGAAACGGAAAAAAAATATTCTGAATCAAATAATATTAGGTAAATAATTGCAGAATATTTTATAGTAAAGATTCTAGTAGATTATGGTAAATAAAATTAAAATACAAGAAGAATAAACATCAAGCAAGGACTGCAAGCAATCATTATATACATATGGAAGGGTTTCAAATCACAATAAGTAGAACTAGAATTTAAGAAAGGACGTTACAAAATATAGGGCTCTTTTGTCCTGAGATTCAACAAAATATTGATTTTGTCAATTCTTTATGCCAAAACTCCATGGTCTCATCTATTCTATTCTTCATCCAGATTGTATTAAAAATCACAAGGGACTTTACCCCTGACAATTAACTCCGTTCTTAAAACTAGAATAAGTGGAGAAAATTAACACAGTTCACCTGCTTGTCTGGACTTTTAATCCTGTAATAGTTCTCTTCTGCACACTGCAACAACTCAATCCTGTCATCTAGTCTAGATTCTAATGATTTACCGGACTGTGCTAAGCTCTTTGCAACTTCTACAGCATCTGAAATCAATTTACTGATTGATGAATAAGATGAAAATTCAGGAGAAATCCAGAACTAGCATTCCAAACCAAACAATATTGCAGACTAGCACATGAATGTCAGATACAAGGGTTTTTAGCAAATAATGAGTGCCTGTTCAAAATATACCATCAGAATCAGATATATCTTCCTCACTTCCACTAGCTTCATCATCACGATTCCAGAATTCCGAGAATTGTTCTTCACCATTGACATCTGAAGCACTGCACAGAAAAATCCTAATTTAATCATCAAAAATAGAATACCAAATCAAAGCCGTAGCTGAATGAAGCCCATTTAGTGAAGGGTCTGAATCCTGAAACCACTTCTTCAGCAAAATTCGACCAATGATAGGCTTGCAAATGCTATTAACTAAGGAAAAGTGCTTGCAATTTTTACGAATATCACTGCAGTGGTCCTTTCCAAGCCAGTTAATGGATAGCTAACATCAAATAATCCGACACAATGGCTAAACTAATACAAGGCAAGATCGGAATACTCCAAGGAATTTCATTTCCTTCTCTCTCTTCCCTTAGAAAAGGCGGGTCAGCAGATGCATTATAACTGATACAGTATTTTTCCCCATCCTTCCATCTTTGTTTAAGTGAATCACATCATAAGAATCAATCAAATTTTTTATATACTAACTGAAATTCAAACAAAAAATATTTGATACCAATTCTGAAATCTTATGCCACCTTGATCATAGAATCGGGTATTTTAATTTGTACAGCAAACCTCTTTCTTTAATTTTCTCCGTAATATTCTATAAATTAAAGCAATACGTACCAGAAAGATCCAATTCTTGTTGTTTATGACTTTTCATGAAGAATGTCAAACATATCAAATTTCAGATCAGATTATTGGATTGGATATTTGATAACGTAGCAAATCGGATATAGATTTAGCAATCAAATATCCGTTGGATTATCAGATCAAATCGGATCCATAAATTATTCTTATCTGATAGGATCAGATATGGGCAGAGCCAACCTATATCCAATCCATTTACAGCCCGATCTAGAATCCATATTTTTCCCGCCATTAAAATATAGCAAAACAAGAAAAAGAATTTTTTATCAACATATAAATATAATCATAAAATCATATTAATTATTAGAACTTTGGTACGCTGTGCTAAATATTTTTCCAGCGATCTTCCTATCAAAAACTAAGTAAATTCTCCAGCCTCGGTGGTAACCTACTTGTTTAAAGTTATGTGTTGCAACAATTCGTGCTTGTAGGGTTTCATTATAAGTTGCTAAAATTATAATATGATAGAAATGATAGGTGGGTAAGTGGGTAGTAGTTGTGGATCCTACGAAATGTGTACTTTAAAATTAAAATTTACCTTTGACCTTTAAATTATAAGCAAATTATAATGCAAGGCAAACAAGCTTTCATTTCCAGAAAAAACTTCCATTTTATATATGGATAAGAAAGTCAAAGTATATACAGCAAGTAAACATTAGTCAAACCATATCACAAGAAAAATGCTATGAATGCAGAAAATAGATGAATAGTCAAATAAAGCAACCCAATAACTTAAATTTTGGTAAAACATCTGTTCGTACACATCGATTTATGGCAACTAAAAATGCTTGGGGCAAATTCCCTAATCACTATGCTTAACTGTACAGCAAAAGCAACGAGCCAATAATGCAGCCAGCTAGATCCCAGTTTAAAAGGAACTGGTATGCATACAACAAAATACGGGATAAACTACCTGCTCATTGATATCCAAGAGGATCCATATCTGGGTCGACTTGCGCAAACAGTTGTAAGGTCCTCCAAATGCTTGGAAACTAATTTAGGGTGTTTGCATGCATCACAAGATTTCGCACATAATGACGAAGTTACCTGCTTTTAGAGAAAGACGTCTATATGGTGTTATCTGACATTCTCATATAGTGTCTTTATGTACAACAGGATCGTTCATCATTCAAGAATAAAATACCTGCTCCCCAAAACTCTCAAGGATCTTTTTCCTACGACAACCAGATTCCTCGCAATATTCAACCATCTAGATGAATTATATGGCTCAGATCAAAATGGAATCAATGGAAAATGGAGATAAGGCCCATCGTTATGGAAGAGGATGAAATTTACCTGGTGGAAATCAGCCAGTGACTTCTTGGAGGGCCCCTCTTGCAAGCTTGAGAACTGTAACTTCTTGCTCTCAGTGTTACCCAAAATAAATTCCTGCAAATGTGTGTGAAGATTTTGGAGTATATATAAAGTGAAAAATTTGAACATCGAAGGAGACAGTAACATAGTGGCAAAGATACAACTAACCATTCTTCTGCGATCATCCACTCCATAATACAGTAGACTCTGGGAGGGAAGTTGATCACGACCAGCTCTACCAGACTCTTGATAGAAGGATTCCATTGACTTGGGGATATTAAAGTGGCAAACAACTCTGACATCCTTCCTGTCTATGCCCTAGAAATATAATGACAAAATATTTGGTTAAAATAGTACTCCTTGAAAAATCTCTACTTTGGAGACACTGAAATTTGTTTTAAACATTCCTTATTTTTGATAGAAATAGCCGCATACCATCCTGCATTTCAACAACCAGCTCGATCACTGTGCATGTACCAAAGTATCTCCAGCAGCTCAGAAACCACATAGACAACAACGATAATCATCACCGAACAATTACAATCAGATTATATGCAATAAAGAGCTTAACAGGATGAAAACGCATGACATTTCAGACAATTTGAAATTATTGCAAACTGTGAAGAAATTTGTTCTGAGGGAATCAGCTGAAACTAGTTACACATTTCTCTAACAGTATTTAAAAAATTGAAAACAAGAGATTGGAAAAAATAAATCCTTAAGCATACAACTGTCAAATGGCAACCACAGAGTACATGAGGTGTTCAAGGATTTCCTTTTGTATTGGTTTGCAAGCAGTTACAAGGCGGGGGCCTCTAAATATGTTTTCAGATACCACTACAGAATTTTTGCCCAATGGAATGAACTTATGAGGACATGTACTTTATTATATTAATTTCAGAACAGTTTGTTTAATGATGAAGTGAATTTATGCAATATCCCAGCTCAAACTTGATCAATGTAATGATTTATATTTGAACACATGGTAGCACTGCAGAAGAGCCAGAAATCTAAAGTCTCTACTAAAAATGTCAAAGCATTGTAATTCATTGGCTTAGGATACCCATATGAGAATCGTAACTGTCAGACATCTATCACAAATATCTACTTCTCCTTCTCCCAGATAAAACAGGATTCAAGATAATGAAAAAGTAGGCATAAGACAAAATAACATGGTTTCGTCAATATAATATGGTCTGACTGAGACCCAACATGCTGAATTCCACTTATTTATCTCACACAAAAGGCCAATCACATATTGTGCAATCTTCAGCTGTTAATAGTAGTCTAGCAATAAGGAAAACAACATTAAACTTACTGCGAGCAAGAACTAAATCTGAGATCAGTATGATTTAATAATATTACAATGATGGTGCAAAAAATGACCCACCAGCTCCGGACCAATATCCGGTTCAATTAATCCTAAAACCTATCTAAATTAAAACCGGTTTTAAAAAACCGGTATTTTTGCCTGTTAATCATTAACTGAATGACCCGAAACCAGGTTTTCCCATTTTCCTGATTGGTTAAAAATATATTGTTTTGGACGAGATCCAATCATCCAAAACAGAGCTCCGCAATTTACTGTTCAATCCTGCATGATATGCTAGAAGTGACAGAAATGGAGTTAAATTTGGAAAGCCTAACAAAGGTGACATTTAGAGGTAGCAAGATATAGTTGTCTGCTACCAGAGCAAGAAATTCCATTCTTTGATAAATAAGCAGCCAAATCATCAGAAGTCTTGCGCTCAAGGCAGTACACAATTGCACAAACATTTCCAAAGGACTTGAGAAAATTACATAAATCAGCATGGGGATTGTCCAACAAATCTTTGTAACGAACTGCAAGAAGAGGTGTTTAAAAAGACAGGTATTAGGTTTAGGTCACCGTTGCTCTGCCTAAATGCATAAAAACCATTTAATCAACTAAAGTGGCAAATTCAGAGAAATTAAATATGAACCATATTTAATCACATATTAATCAATTTGCAGAGCCTGTTCAACCTTTTGTTCTCCTTTCATACTCAATTTTCTTATTTTCTTTTAGATGTGCCCATGGGGGAGGGAAGAGTTTGTGCAATAAGATCTTAGATTTCCCCAAAACCTTTAACAAATGAGGTGCTATATTGTCCAAAGTATAGCCAGTGTGCTATGACAATTAAAAAAAAGGACACGTACACTCATTAAAATAACTCACATAATGCTCCAAATAAAGCAGAAGAGCAACTATGCTGCTGCTCAAAAAGTTCCATAACAAAGAACGGAAGGAAAGCAAATAAATCAAGATAAATAGACCTCACCTTCATAGTAAATATTCGGTCGATTAAACGATGATTTCAGGACAAGAGGGTTTTCCAAACACAAGGACTCTGTCACATCCTGCTGTACTCTGCAGAAACACAATATGAAAATATCTTAATTGGACTGAAATTTTGTGCACAAAGAAGTTCCAGATAAATTTAAACAACAATTAAATATGTTCCATATATATAAAAAGTATTCTACTAAAGAAAGATCATTCAGAGACTTTTCCTTTTGACAGGCCAACAACAATGCTTTTGACAATGATATTTTAACGACATGGATACACAAAAAGATTTTATCTTTGAAGTCTGAGTAAAAGATAAAACTTATGTTTAAGGTGGAGGAGTAAGAGGTTGCAGAACATCGTAGAATCTACATTAATAAGAAAAAGTGTTTAGAAACTTTTGCTAGGATATGGACGGAAAGTTATATTTTCTATGGAGAAAGTTGAACACTCACTTAGGAGCAGCTGTAGCTGTCAAAGCCAACAATGGTATGTTGGGCAGACAATTCCTCAAAGAAGAAAGTTTGCGATAGCTTGGCCTGAGTATAAGAATAATCAATAAAAATAAATAACAGTAATAAAAATAAAAATAAAAATAAAAATTCTAAACTCAAACAAATGGCAGATATGGTGACCTATGATGCACGGACACGGACACATGTGTCCGACTCGATACGTGTTGGATACGTCAACACGTGATTTTTAAAAAAAGTATCGACACGACACATTGATTAATTTTTTTTAAAATCTTCATTTATATAGTATAAATTTAGTTTTATACTTGCCATTACTTTTTTTTTGTTGAAATCTTTTAAATATGAATACCTATTTGTTATTTACTAATAACTTTGAGTTAAAAATATATAATATTTTTAATGAAAAATGAAAAATGTTTATGGTAGAGTTGTCTAGAAAAATATAAATTTTATATAATAACCTCTTGCTCTCCATATTACAAAGTAGGTTACAGATAATTTTAAAAGGAAAGATTGTGTAATAATTACCCAATCAACTAATAAGGAAAATAATCCTATATAATTGGAAAAATATAATAAAAGATTATTTTAAACAATATTTTCATGTTCCATATCTTTAACACCCCCCTCAAATTGCAATCTTGAACTATGACGGTGACAATACTTATGTCCACGAAAAAGAAATCCAAACCAGATCAATCAACTATGAAAATTAGTGACGACGAGAGACCAAGAACAATAAAATAGTGCAAAAACGACCCAAAACAACTCCAAAGCCAATCCAAGCATACTCCAAAGAGCTCATTCCCCAAGAAGAATTTCCAGGGGGGAGTTCCTATATTCTAGTCAACTCTTGTAAATAATTTTTCAATTATAAAAATGAATAAATTAAAAGGCAGTAGAAAAAAAAATGGATAATCATGCTGGTGTAAATTATTTATCTCTTCAGATTAATTTCTCTCTTTTTTTTCCATTTAAATCCAATTTATGTGATCTTTTATTTAATTTTATTATATTTACATAATAAAATACTCTAAAAATATCAACAATTCTCCACATAACAAAATAAAAACTAAATATGCCCTCGCCCAAAAAAGCAGAGAGGAGACGTAATTCGAACACAGCTCGTACATAGGATGGGCGTAGCGAAGGAGGGGAAGCGTGTTCTGATTGCATTGCCTTCTTCTTCGCTATGAGAAACAATGGGTGCTTTTGTCTATGCATATTAAGTTAATTTGAAATTAATTTAATTTTGTCAATTCTTGTGATATATAATTTATTTATTTATTTATTAAAACTCTTTCAACCCTAGTTTAATTCCGGTTCAACCTTTTAACTCTTGATCCTTTAACTTTTCCAGGTCAACATTCGGGGTGTAATACTAGTACATCGAAATGTGCGTTTAAAAGTTGGCCCTCGCGATTGTACAATTTACCAGCAATAAAAAAATTGATATGCATATCCCAATTGCATTTGTACGTACTTTGGTTCAAAAGAGTAAAGAAATGAAGAAAATTAATTAATCTACGTAATTGAGCAATTCAACTTGGTTACCTAATCAGCTAATTATATTCTAATTACAGTAAAATTTCTGTAATATATTAATAATGGAACCAAGATAAATTATTACTTTAGAGAGGTTAATAGTCAATCGACAAAAAACATCAAACCATTTTTGGTCAACATTACAAAAATGTTTTGAATGTCGAACGTTTCTTGAATTATTTAGGTGAAAATGAAATGATGCTGGAATAGCAACAGATTATTGAGGGGGTACTAAGCACATTTATAGAACATGATTTAGATGATATTTGTGTCTCACCAACTATTTGTTCAAAAGAAGCCTTTCAAGCACTTTAAAATTAAATAATTAGTTTCTACAAACCAAATAGAGCACGTGCATTGCAAATAATTAGGAATGAGGTTGAAATAAAGTAATTATATTCACACCACAAATTCTGTTTGATACACCACATTTTAATTAAACGTCCTCATTTTTTATTCATTGTCACCTTATGTCAACAAATTCTTTTCGTCGGATTTTTATTCTTAACCTTCAGTTAATCAACGCATCTTACAAAAATCATATGGATGACTCTCACATGGAACAAGCTCTAATGTTACAATAATGTAATCTTTAGTTATTGGCACAACTTTATGTTGGTTAGATTGTAATCTTTAGAGGAGTCATATTACTATCAACTAGATTGGTCTTTCGTCTTCGATTCCAAATAGAATACTAGGGAACTATACCGAATTTCACAGTTTTATCCTCAGGTATATAAAATTTTGACATCCATTAGAAGCTGATCATGATCACTCAACCCAAATTTTTGGAATCAGAAAAAATGAAGCCCCCTCTCACTCATCAATTTGGTTTTTCCTCAATCCTGTTTCAGGTTGATATATTTTGTCAGCTGCAAGTGGAAAATTCACAGAAGGTTCACTTTGATAGCAGTTGCAAGTGGAACATTAGATGTTATTAGGGAAAAAATGAAGAGAATACAGTTGGCAGCAAATCCTGATTCTAGAAGTGACACATCGATACATATGATTGCAAATACGACAGATTCTTCTTCCACTGAATGTGCCAGTATCAAGAATCCTATGCGTTGGGTTTTGATACCCAATAAATCATGGACGTAGATGTAAAACGATGTCGGATAATTTTGTATAGATAACTCATAAAAATACCTTTAAAATTAGGAGTGTTTTGAAAAATCATATTAAAAAAAATTTATAAATAAAAAATACTTGGTAAAATCAAAAAATGACACATGTCACATTTTTATTAAAAAAATTTGTCACTTTTAAAATTTTAGTATCACTTTTTTTATTAAAAAATTACATACAATATCACTTTAATTAAAAAGTGATGTTCGTCCCTAAAAAAGAGTTACAGAAGTTTCAAAAAAAGATGCAAAAAAGTGCAGACATTAAAAAAGTGACAAAAATTCAAAAAAAAAAAAGTGACAATTAGCCCCGTTTGGTCCCCATTCTCCTTCTCATTCTTTTTTTCTATTTTATTCTCAACCATACAATCTTCCATAAAATAATACTACACGAAAATCAAAAACTTTTCATTTTTTTTCAAACACACATTTTTCAAAACAACACTACTTTAACCGTTAAAATTTGAATAGAATGGGGATGAAACGGGAGCTTACTAAAAATGACAAAAATTCAAAAAAGTGACAAATTTTTTTTTTAAAAATGACGAATTTAAAAAAGTGACACGAATCTCAAAAAGCTACACAGATTCAAAAAAAGTAAGGGCATAGAAATCAAATGTACCATTGAAAATGTTAAATGTTAAGGCGAGGCCGTGGAGCTGTTTACACGTCAGATAAAGGAGCAACGGCTAGAATTTCGAATGAGGGGGCATAGAAATCAAATATACCATTGAAAATGCTAAATGTTAAGTCTAAAATTCAAATAAAGCTCGAAGGCATTAGCAAATGAGCATTGCAAATATGTAAATTATCTTCACTATAGTTTCATACACCCTCCTAAGACCCAATTCAAAAATTGAAGAAAATAAATCAACTGTATAAAGAGAATTTTCTCGAGTAGAACAAAACAACAGGATTTTCACTCTTAGAACATGGTTCCTGTATTCTCGACGTCAACTTCTCCCATACATGTATCTTCATCCTCTTCACTGTCTTCATCTATACTAACCTCCTCATTTTCACAACCCAGCTTAAGCATCTGCTCAGCAAGTAGTTTGTCCTCCCGTTCACTTACTTAAAAAAAACCATCCATATTAGATATGCTACAACAATAAGAGTTGTGATGATCACAAGGATAGCCTTTACAGAAGAAGCAAAGAGAGGATTAATATTTCACCCAAAGTTGAAATATTATAGCAGGTTTTCTAGGGAGCATTGAATGATACTACTAAAATTTTGTTAATTATAGTCTCCAGTTTTGTCCCATACAAAGAATCAAACATGCACAGGAGATTTTTCTATTTGGTCGGGTTTTATTCCTTTTTAATTTATTCATTGAAAAGTCTATATTGTCCTTAATAAAATTATTCTTCTTATATTGCAATATATACCCCAATCTTTCAAACTATTTTTATCTTATATTTATTCTATTTTGAATTTTAGCATATAGGTCCATTTTATGATCTAATATATTGAAATATTCTGCAACATATTGTTCATATTTTTTATTAAGTATATTATAATCTTCAGAAGATACATTTATATTTTCTAATTGAGAAATAATATTTTTATTTCTTCTAACATTCTTTCTAATAAATTATCTAATCCTTTAATTATATACCCTGGCATTCAATCATAAATAATCCCTACGATTCTTTAAGATCTTAAAAAGATTCGTTCTAATTTCAGCAAAAATTAATAGTTTTACCTTAGTTTTGATCTGAACCTTTATTCTTAGAATTGAGTGACCTTCGAGCTCTGAATATGTAAACTGCTTCCTTCAATAGCCTCTCGCCTTCACAGAATCTCTACTATTTCAGTTTTTTGCTCTTATTGTATCATTTCTAAAGAATAAATTTCTAGACTTTGATTAAAGAAAAATCCTTTTTTTTGCTAAAATAAAAAAGAAACTTTCTATTAGATCCTT